AGAATTAGAAAACGTGTTACACATGAATTTTATTGTATTCGTCGAGATCTATCCAACAAGATCCATGTCGAATATTTTTTCCGAGTTTAAAAATGACTAAATTTCGATGGGCAGAATAAGATGGATATCTAGTTTAGAAAGATGGATAAGCAGTTTAGTTTCGATTAAGATTCTTGTATTGCATATATCTCTTGATCCGTAAAGAATTAAAATACGAATTATACATGAAATTTATAGTGCAAGACGGAATCTATCCGATAAGATGCATGTTGAATATTTTTTTGAACTTTTAATGCATTTAAATTTTACGGGCAGAAATGAAGAAATGTGTTTTTCGTTTTTCTTTGAAAAATGGTTATCCGTTGTGTTCCTACTAGTTATCCAACCGGTTTGGACTGATTCTCCATTATGTTTGTACTTGTTATCCAATCATATTTTTGACATTCACTCTTCAAAAAAAAAATAAAGAAAGAAAAAATGATTGGATAAGCACTGCGAACTATTTGGATAATCAGTACAAAAAATTTGACAATCATTTTCATAAAAGAATAAGGAAAAAAAATACTGGATAACCACCACAAAGAAGTTGGATAATTAATATGAACACATTGGATATCCAGTTTAAGAAGATGGATAACCAACTTATTTTACATTCATATTGTTGTGTTCCTTATATCTTTTGATCCGTAAAGAATTATAACACAAATTATATATGAAATTTATAGTGCTCGACGAAATCTATCTGATAAGATCAATGTTGAATATTTCTTTTGAACTTTAAATGCAATTAAATCTTACGGGCAGAAATGAATAAACTGAAAAATGATTATCCGTTGTGTTCATACTGATTATCCAACCGGTTTGGACTAATTACGTATTTTGTTTTATCCAATCATATTTTTTATATTCACTTTTCAAAAAAGAAAAAAAGAAAAAACAAGATGGACAACCAAATTAGTTTAGATTGATATTCTTGTATTACATATATTTCTTGATCCGTAAAGAATTAGAACACGAATTATATATGAATTTTATAATGCTCGACGACATCTATCCAACCAGTTTGGACAGATTATCTATTTTGTTTGTACTTGTTATCCAGTCGTTTTTTTTACATTCACTCATCTTAAAAAAAGAAGAAGAAAAGAATAAAAAATAAAATATTTGGATAAGCATTACAAACAATTTGGATAATCATTGAAAATAATTGGATAAGTAGTACAAGCTGGTTGGATAACCAGTACAAAAAAAATGGAGAATCATTTTCATTAAAAGAGCAAGGAAAAAAAAAGTCGGATAACCATTAATCACTGAGAAGTCAGATGGATAATCAGTACGAACACATTGGACAGATTTTTTCTCAAAAGAAGAAAAAAACAAGAAGAGAAATTATGTTTGGATAATCAGTGAAAACGATTGGATAAGGTATACAAAAGGTTGGATAGTCAGTACAAAAAAACTGGACAAGGATTTTTGCAAAGAGTAGAGAAAAAAATTGGTCGGATAATCTATACAGAACAGTTTGAAAATCAATACGAACGCATTGGACAACCATTTCTTTTTTCAAAAAATAATAATAAAAGAAAAACCAAATGGATGGATATCCAGTACAAACGAGTTGGATATCCAATACAAACCAAATGGATATCCAGTACAAATAAGTGGGATATCCATTACAAACAAGTTGGATAGGCATACAAACCAAATGGATGGATATCCACTACAAACAAGTTGGATAAATATCCAGTGCGTACAAACAAGTTGGATAGGCATACAAACCAAATGGATGGATATCCAGTACAAACAAGTTGGATAGGCATACAAACCAAATGAATGGATATCCAGTACAAACAAGTTGGATAGGCATACAAACCAAATGAATGGATATCCAGTACAAACAAGTTGGATATGCATACAAACCCGTTGGATTACAACTACAAAACAAGTTGGATAAGCATATAAACCAAATGGATGGATATCCAGTACAAGCGAGTTGGATATCCAGTACAAACGATATGGATATCCAGTACAAACAAGTGGGATATCCATTGCAAACAAGTTTGATAGGCATACAAACTAAATGGATGGATATCCAGTACAAACAAGTTAGATAACCAGTTCAAACTGGTTGGATAATCAGCATAAACACAATGGATAACCGATTTGAAATCCATCTTATTCTGCCAATCGAAATTTAGTCATTTTTAAACTCGGCTAAAATATTCGACATGGATCTCGTTGGATAGATCTCGACGAGTACTATAAATTTTCATGTATAACACATTCTTTAATTCTTCACGGATCATTAGATATGATCGTTTGAATATTAGAGATGTTTTTTAAAGGAGAGAAAAAAAAGTGACAGGGACTAAACCTGTAAATTATAGGAAGGTTATTTAGAAAAGTGGAAAAAAGTGTAGTAAGGGACAGTAGCATAAAAAATAGGAAGGCGAGTATTGTGCCCCCGGATATACTTGATAGAGACTCAAAATAATCATGTGTATCGTTTCTAATATTTTACTAAAATCACTATAAGTAGACTCTTTCCTTTTCTTTTTTTTTCCCCCAAAAAGTTTACTTCTTTTACTTTAAAAAAAAATTATTTGCAACTGTAAGTGGAGTTCCTTCAACATTGGGAAGTTGGTTCCTTCACTGTAAACAACATACCCCCATGCTATCACATCAAAACACAAGCATTCAACCCAAAATCAATGATTCATGTGAGAAGAACCTCAAAAATTTATTAGTTAGTTCGTAATGAAAATACTAGTACAAGAAAGCAAGAAAAACATAACAAAATGATACAACAAATGAGAATGATATTTCTATAACCAAGTGAGACTATATCTATGCCCAAATATCAAATTGGTAGTTGCCAAAATAGGTAAGTATCAAGTAAGACCGATTCACAAGACATCAAAACAAATCAATCGAAGATGTAAAAAAGAAAAAAAGTATTTAAAGGATTATATTGCATAATGATCTCACAATATCTTGTGGACAAGTAGGCAAATTGATTGTGTTACCAAATAAAAAAATAACTGATTTTACCAGCCACCAATTGTGCAAATTGAGGGGCATTTTCAAGCTGGTTGGATAACCAGTACAAAAAAAATGGAGAATCATTTTCATTAAAAGAGCAAGGAAAAAAAAAGTCGGATAACCATTAATCACTGAGAAGTCAGATGGATAATCAGTACGAACACATTGGACAGATTTTTTCTCAAAAGAAGAAAAAAACAAGAAGAGAAATTATGTTTGGATAATCAGTGAAAACGATTGGATAAGGTATACAAAAGGTTGGATAGTCAGTACAAAAAAACTGGACAAGGATTTTCGCAAAGAGTAGAGAAAAAAATTGGTCGGATAATCTATACAGAACAGTTTGAAAATCAATACGAACGCATTGGACAACCATTTCTTTTTTTTCAAAAAAATAATAATAAAAAGAAAAACCAAATGGATGGATATCCAGTACAAACGAGTTGGATATCCAATACAAACCAAATGGATATCCAGTACAAATAAGTGGGATATCCATTACAAACAAGTTGGATAGGCATACAAACCAAATGGATGGATATCCACTACAAACAAGTTGGATAAATATCCAGTGCGTACAAACAAGTTGGATAGGCATACAAACCAAATGGATGGATATCCAGTACAAACAAGTTGGATAGGCATACAAACCAAATGAATGGATATCCAGTACAAACAAGTTGGATAGGCATACAAACCAAATGAATGGATATCCAGTACAAACAAGTTGGATATGCATACAAACCCGTTGGATTACAACTACAAAACAAGTTGGATAAGCATATAAACCAAATGGATGGATATCCAGTACAAGCGAGTTGGATATCCAGTACAAACGATATGGATATCCAGTACAAACAAGTGGGATATCCATTGCAAACAAGTTTGATAGGCATACAAACTAAATGGATGGATATCCAGTACAAACAAGTTAGATAACCAGTTCAAACTGGTTGGATAATCAGCATAAACACAATGGATAACCAATTTGAAATCCATCTTATTCTGCCAATCGAAATTTAGTCATTTTTAAACTCGGCTAAAATATTCGACATGGATCTCGTTGGATAGATCTCGACGAGTACTATAAATTTTCATGTATAACACATTCTTTAATTCTTCACGGATCATTAGATATGATCGTTTGAATATTAGAGATGTTTTTTAAAGGAGAGAAAAAAAAGTGACAGGGACTAAACCTGTAAATTATAGGAAGGTTATTTAGAAAAGTGGAAAAAAGTGTAGTAAGGGACAGTAGCATAAAAAATAGGAAGGCGAGTATTGTGCCCCCGGATATACTTGATAGAGACTCAAAATAATCATGTGTATCGTTTCTAATATTTTACTAAAATCACTATAAGTAGACTCTTTCCTTTTCTTTTTTTTTCCCCCAAAAAGTTTACTTCTTTTACTTTAAAAAAAAATTATTTGCAACTGTAAGTGGAGTTCCTTCAACATTGGGAAGTTGGTTCCTTCACTGTAAACAACATACCCCCATGCTATCACATCAAAACACAAGCATTCAACCCAAAATCAATGATTCATGTGAGAAGAACCTCAAAAAATTTATTAGTTAGTTCGTGTAATGAAAATACTAGTACAAGAAAGCAAGAAAAACATAACAAAATGATACAACAAATGAGAATGATATTTCTATAACCAAGTGAGACTATATCTATGCCCAAATATCAAATTGGTAGTTGCCAAAATAGGTAAGTATCAAGTAAGACCGATTCACAAGACATCAAAACAAATCAATCGAAGATGTAAAAAAGAAAAAAAGTATTTAAAGGATTATATTGCATAATGATCTCACAATATCTTGTGGACAAGTAGGCAAATTGATTGTGTTACCAAATAAAAAAATAACTGATTTTACCAGCCACCAATTGTGCAAATTGAGGGGCATTTTCAATTTCCTTATTTTCAAGAGACAAATTTATTTTTGCCACTCGTCCTTTCAATTTGTGAAACTTTCTTCCCCTTCTTCCTTATTGTGTTTCTTTCGGTGAGTCCATTCAAAATTATCAGAGGACGATTATGCGACTACGACACACTCTCAAGTCTCTCAAGTCTCTGAACCCTCTTTGCTTTCCTTCCACAGAGAGATAAACAATCAATCAATCAAGCAAATTGCACGAAATACTCTCAAGAACCACGTTTGAGACTTAGGATAGTAGATAGTTTGAGTTCAAAAAGCTACTGGTGGGAATATCTCCGCCCACCCCACCCCCCCCCACGGCGAAGATACAATCAGCGGTAATTTTACTAAAAACAATTCTTTCCTTCTTGTTGAAATTCAAGCACCTTGCTTCAGTAGGTTTACTCTGATTATTCTTCTGTGCTTCAGTAGGTTTACTCTGATTATTCTTCTGTACGGCAGTTTGGGTGTAACTTAATTTGGGTTTCTTTTTTCGTTTATGTATGAACTGTAATCGTCGCAATTTTGGTTTGTGGTGTGATCGTTTGGGGATATGTTGTATCTATCTATGATGGGATTTCCTCCCCAAAATATATTGATTTCTGAGTTGGTTTTTTTTTTGTTTTTGTTTTTGTTTTTTTGTGCTTGTGTATTTTTGTTTGGCATGTAGAAGTTCTGTCTTTTCATTTTGTGGAATTTGATGTTGTTTGAATCGTAGGTTGTTGAAGCGTAGTCTTTGGGAACCATGGCATCTCATGTAGGTACTACTAATTCGGAACCTCCAAAAAATGAGCAAATAATCACTGAATTCTTTGCGAAAAGCCTGCATATAATACTTGAATCAAGGTGCCCATATGTCTCATCTCGGAATTATAGTGGTGAACAAGGGCTGTCATCTCCCTCATCGTCTTCATCCTCCTCATCGAGTTTTAGGCCAAGGGATAAATGGTTTAATCTAGCGTTGAAGGAATGTCCTGATGCTCTTGAGAATATTGATTTTTGGAGGCAGAGTTATACTGAGCCAATGGTGGTTGATGTGGTGTTGTTATGCAGATCAAACAATTGGAATCTATTGAATTGTTCGCCAAAAAGAGCAGTTGCTAGGAACTTGTCATTGAAAGAGAGGTGTTACGGGAGTTCAGAGAATGATGATTCTCGGAATGAAGTTGAAAGGGAGAAGATCATCGAGAGATGGGTTTTACAGTATGAGAGTAGGAAGGGCAGTCATGTTGGTGTTGGCAAGACTGGGAAGAAGCGGTCGGGCAGTACTACTTCACATATTTTATACAAGAAGTCCATACTACTGCTGAGGTCTTTATATGCAACTGTTAGGCTTTTGCCTGCATATAAGCTTTTCCGAGACCTTCTCGCATCTGCACGAATTGGAATATATAATCTTCGTCATCGGGTTTCTTCTTTTGTAGAGCCATTTAATCATAGGGAAGAAGCTGAAATGCAAAAGTTTGTTTTCACCCCTGTGGAGACTTCATGTGGTAGACTTTGCGTTTCTGTTTTGTACCGTTCATCAGTCTCAGATGTAAGTTCAGAACCATCAACCCCCTTGTCTCCACAATTTATTCCAGATTATGTTGGCAGCCCATTGGCTGATCCCCTCAGGAGGTTTTCATCTGGTCCACTGCCTCAGGAGTCCCCATCTTTAGTGTCAGCTGGGAGGCGCCACAGCTGGAGCTATGATATATCAAGAGCATCACCGCCCTCTGGAATTCCTTCACCTTCACCCACTTATTCAGAGTCTCATGCATCATTGTCTAAGTCACGCTCTCATTGCCACCCACCTGCCACTTTACCTCGTCAGCAGTCTGTTGAAATGGTTCAAGAACATGTGAAAAATGTTAACTATGACGAATATTCGCCCTCTCCTATTTTTTCTCCATCTCCATCTCCATCTCCATCTCCATCACCGCCTGCTCCCATCCATGGTGCTCAAATATCAAAGGCACTTTTGCGCTCTGAAAGTGCCCCAGTCAGTATCCCTGAATCTAGGCCATCTGGGATTCTGCTATTGTTTAACAATCAAATGCTTCCTCCTTCTCCTTTGAAATGTAGTGTTGCCAAAAGAGATGTACGTTCCGGGCTTTCCCAGACCAAGTCAGCAGTTGATAAGGTATTTGGGACTGTCACTTTGTTTCAATGAGTAATTTGTATGCTTTGTTTCTTAGAGCGGATTTTGTCTGCTGTAGTTACTACCATCAGGGAAAAATGAATCGGGAAAGGTGTCTGTTGTGAAGCCATTGCCAAATATCTCTCCTCCAAAGTCATACTCTAGAAGCTCCAGCAGTTTTCAGGATGATTATGATGATTCAGACTTTTCTGGTCCATTTGTTGTAGATGAGGATGAAGGTGACTCAGCTAGCAGGTAGTTGTTAACCAATCATGATGGTTTCTGTCTATGAACGCAATAGCGTTTACATCCAGATGCTTTTCTGTTGCTTCTGTTTTCATCTTCTGCCCCCCAACAAAGTAATCATTTAGTTTCTTTTTTTCCCCCTTTGAAACTAAGAAATTTCATAACTGGGACTCTTAAGATTCTGTTTTCATAGATTATAATGGGCCACGGGGGAGGAAAAGGAAAGGAGGAGAGAGTCGAAGTAGCAAATGAGAGGTCTTTCACAAATATTATTTGATTAGGACTAGAACTTTCTGCTGAATGTGCTATTTGATTTTCCATTTTCAAGTGCTACTCCATGAGTGAACAATTTTGTAGTATGTCAACTTTGCTTCTTGTCAGGCAAAGCCCAATCCTTGCTTGATTAAAGTTTCATCTGCTCTCTCTTTAGCCAGTCTTGATTGCATGAGATCTATGCTTGAAAAAGCTTCTCACTTTCAGTAGCTTTTTCTCTTGTATTAGTGTTGATTCTATATTGATCTCCATGGATCTCATTTTCTGCGGAATTCATTTGCCGATATCTCCGATCTGGTTTTCCATGGCTAGTTCTCAGCTGTGGTTCTTGAATTTGTAAGACTGAAAAAACTTGGGTGCTTAGAATAGACCGAATTTGGATTGATTGTTCTGGTTTTAGTTGATTCTCTCGATGGACAAGATTCTCCATTAGTTATGTATTTTACGTTAGTCAGATTCTCTTGATATGAGCATCCCTTGATACTCATATCTGCTTAAACTTGCTCATGCATTGGTAGGACTTGTGCAAATCCTTGGTATGATATACATGTAAGACATGCGTTTAGGCCTAAACATGTCTCTATTAGGTGAACAATTCTTTTGTTGGACCATGGTTATTTCATATAGTCATTCTGGTAATGATGTTTAGGGTCAAATGGATTTTTCTTTGAATTAAAAAGCAGAGGGAGTGTCCTTGGTTCTTTCTATTTTTGGCCTTCTTTTTCTCCAGGTTGTGCGCCTGCTGAAACATGAAAGAAGAGAAATAAGGTTAGGTAGGTCTTTTGGTAAAGAGCAAGGAATACCACAAAAATTGGCTCAAAGTCGTAAAAAGTAACATACTTTTTGATAATTATGAACCGTAAAACATATAATTGGATAAAGAACTTTAGGAAATTTGTACTTATACAAGCCATATGCTGCGTAATGGATATGAATTTCTTGCACTTCAGTCAACCATCCCTAGAAAGAACCTTATATGAAATTGGATATAAACTAATCAGGCAATAGGTTGTAAGATTCCCCCTTCAGTGTAGAGTCCCAAATTGCAGCATAGTCCTGAGCTCTATTTCACGGATGCCGATTCTGTCAGGCATCAAATGCTCCATATGGTGCAGATTGATTCTCAAGTTTTATGTAACTTTTACTGATTTTCTACGCTCTAAGTAATTTCTCTTCCTTTGTCTTCGTTGTCCTTGTCTAAGTTAATCAAATTATGAGCCATGATCAGGTTATTTTTCCTGATGATTGCTTTCTGTTCATATAATGAATGTAAATGGCTGTTGTGTTGAATGATTCCATCTGATTGCTTTTTGTTCATGAAATGATTGTAAATTGCCCTTATATGGATAGATACCATCTGGTGTCCTTCAGCCCGTACATAGCATGTATCCCGGTTGCTTGTGTTTTTATATGAGTTATGAAGGTGTAGCTGGTGTTTTTTTAAAAATTTTTTTCTATTTATTTATTTTTCTGTTATCTGATTTAGACTTCGGAGCTGCTACTTGGTAGGGTATGTTGGGATTTAGCAGTATTTTTGTGATGAATTCAGAAGACAACTTCCTTTTGATGCCGTATCAAATCTTGTTGCATATGCTAAACAGTGACCTTAGAACATGGTTCATCTATATGCTTTAGAGTCTCTGGGCATGTGTTTTAACTGTGCCGTTTTTGCTTTTGCTATCAAGTTTTTCTTCATTACATAACAATAAAGAGTTTATCTGTTTGGTTTGTTTTTTGATGGCTTTTTTGGAATATAATAATAAATGTCCGAGCATACCTTTTTATTTTTCCAATACACCTTTTTACATTCACAATGGAAAAAACATCTAAAAACACATGCTAAAAAACGATCCAAAGATACTGAGTAATCTCCAAACTTTAGTTACATTCTTGATAAGCACACTTGTGGAAGAGTGGTTTCTGGTTCATGAGCCTTTTCACAATGTTAGGCTCAGGTTAAGATTAGCATGAACATCTTTGTATTCTTGGTCCATCTATGAAAACGTTTTCTCCTAAGATATCCCCCTTTTGTATATGTGAAGTATCTGGCTTCAAGCTTGATTCCTTAAGATCTCCCGAGATTCCTGAGATCATGAAGCCTTCTGGATGGCCATCAAATATGAAACTTGAGATATTTTAGTTCTTCCTGGCCTGGAATGAACTTGTCTTTTGCTTTTATTTGGGCTTTGGCTTTGATGCTTTGTCTGATATTGATTTAAGGGGCTTGCGTAAGTTTTGAACTGAAAGAATGTAGGTATAATCCATGATCAGAAATGTGGTTGTCTATACGAACAGATATCTATAGTGTACAGAAACAAAAAGCCTCTCCATTTCTTTCCAGTTTGTTTTCTTGTTCCTTTTTTTTTTTTTTCGTGTCTTTCTTGAAGATTTTGGTTTGGATCCTAGAATGGTTAATGCGTGCTATATAGTGCATTCTTATCCTTCTTCTGCCGCTGATGGCTAATTTGAAGTCATCGTTCATTACTGATGAGTTTCATTTTGATCCTGCTATTCAAACTTTGCCCATAACTGCTTGGTCAAAAAAATAAGATGAAATTGTTATTGGTTTCTGCAGGGCTGGTTCCTTTGATCAAGTTGGAAACCCTTGGGGACAGAATGACCAAATAGGACTTTCGACTGTTAAGAAATCTCAAGATGCTGCCGTAGGTGCTCTTGTTTGTATGCTGAAGAAAGCCCCACCTCTTCGCCAAGATTTGCATGATTCGACTAAGTTGTTGCCTGGATCCAAAGCTGAAAGAGGTAACTCCAATGTCGATACTGATCAGATCACCGGACAAGAAAGGATGCAACAGTCTGCTGCTGTGAGTGGTGCATCTTCTGGATTCTTTCCTCCCAAAACAACTGCTGATGCGCTCGAAGAGCTGCGTGGTTACAGAGAAATAAAAAAGTCTTTGCTGAAGCAAGATGAAAATCCACCAGCATAGCAAGAGTGATCTGTTCTGCTTAAGTGGGAGATGTGATGATGATAATGATGATAACATGTGTATAGGGTGAAGATTTGTACAGTACATGTTACTCGTCTGTTTTTTACTGCCTCGCAACTTGAGTTATGAGCGGATTCGTATGATCCTATCCTGATTCCTGCCTGATAAAATCCAATTCCATGGTTTCTCCTTATTCCCAGTGTTCATTTCCAAACCTCATCAGCAGCAATGAGCTTTCAAATGTAACTATCCATCTTCTTATTTGTTGTACGTGGAATTGGCCTTGAATATCAATGGACCTGTTTCCGGTAGGGCGTTAACCAAAAACATCAGCAAAAATAAACCGAATCCGAAAGATAGCCCTACTTAACAGTAGCTAATTTTTTATTTCATTTAGGAAGGAATGACTCGAAATATATGACATTCCTCTGAAAAACTAGTTTTTTTTTTATTATTTTTAAATAAAATTTTTCATTCCATCTAGGAAGGAATGACACGGATATATGACATTCCTTTGGAGGCCAGAGTGAAATTTAGCCTATCTTTGTAGGTCTACATTCTACAGATCAAAATTTTGAACCAAATGACTCTTAATCCACCAATATTACCATGTACTACAACTACACATCTCTAGTTAGACTCTCCTAATTGAGCCCTTCAACTCATGTGAGACCACCACACCCTCCACCCCCAAACGCTGCTTGGAAGCTTTCACTGTAACCCAAACTTGGCTATAAAATTCTCTAGGAGAATTTATGTCTGTATAATAAACATGAAAAATATCTGCTAGGGTTTTTCATTAGAATATTTCTCCTTTTCTTGGCATTGCCTTTTACTTTTCTTCAACAAGTACAATATTTCTAATCCTCTATCTTTTTTTTATTATTTTTTACTTTTTGTAAAGGATCGATGGTGGTTTCTCACTTACCCCGACGTTCTAATCCTCTATCTATTGATTCACATATCTGCTCCAGTTATGCTACTATGGATGATTAATTTTTGTGTCAAATGGGTCTCCAGCTCCCTTGAGTTCCTCGCTAAATTCTTGTTGAAAAAGGTCAACTCTTGATGCATACAACAGAAAGGAATCAAACCAACGCTTGTCGTTCTACTTTATCCACAAACAAAAAAGCACATCTTCATGTTATCTTCCAGTGGAAAGGCCTCATATCCAATCCTTCGTCATTGGATACAGATCATAATACAACACTTATGTTTGCTTCGTTTTTTTAGTGTGTGTTTTTATGTATTTTTTGTATTAGGAATGTAAAAAGGTGTATTGAAATTGTAAAAAAGTATACTGGGATGGGATATTTATTATTTTAATATTATGAAAAAAACCATCCAAAAAACAAAACAAAGTTTTACATGAAAAAGAAGGATAAAGGACAAAAACAGAAGGAAAGAAAAGAACTCAAAAAAAAAAAAAAAGCGGTGTATATGTGTATGTTGAATATGTACCATCCAAATGGCCTGATGATCTAGTTTCATGACTAGGTAAATTGGATCAATTATTTGATAACAATTATTTGTGAACCACCTTTTTTTTTATGAAAATGATCATGTTCATTCGTCTGTAAGTACACACGTCGCAGATTATTTACCAAATCTCTTTTTTTTTTTTTTTCATGTGGAACATGAAACCAGATTGATCTCTTCTTGGGGTACTTGAAAAACAAGCTGAATTTCATCTTCATCGCAACTGCCTTTGCTGCACCATTTCCATCCAGAACCTAATCCCACGACAGCATAAAGCCACTACAATCAAGTCAGACTGCTAAATGTCAATCAGCATTTAGATATTTTTGTAACAAAGGAGATCTCACCTGTCAACAGAATGAGAAGCAGATGAAACAGTCAGTTTCAAAGCCAGACCAACAAGATCAGCAAGCTGGGCCAGTAATGAACAACACTTGCTCGAAATTGCAAGCTTTGGTGTCAAAAATATTAAGTGATCACGACTTAATGATCTTCAGCTTTGAATTTCCGTTCTCCTCCTGTACTTCCTTAATCTTTCCTACTAACTCCTATACATAGTCAGAACAATACCTGACATCAATCACTTCAAGCGTCGAAAGATTCTCCAGACAAGAAGGCATCTCTTGCAGACTGCCACAACTCCTGAGTACTAAATTCTCAGAACATTGAAATTGATCCGCAGATGCAGTCCACGAGAATAGATTCCAGGACGACACTGCAAGAACCACAGTTAGGAGAAGTCCTCTTCTTCCATTTCCCATGTGTCTCCTTGAAATCACATTTTTGAATTTCGGGACTTCAAGGTTAGGCAGTCTAGAAATGGTTGAAAGACTGCGATTAGAGAAATGAAACCTTGATAGTGTCAATTGCTTCAGATGAGCAGGCAAACTAAACTCACTGTAAATGAGTTCTACTTATAAGCTGGAGAGAAAAACCTTTGAAATGGTTTAGCTGAAACAAGAAAACCGTCAAGAGTCATTTCATGTTTAATGCAAAACATTGAAACGGTTTTGGCCATCACTTCAATCTGCCTATTAAGTCTATTAACTCCACAGCAGGTTTCTTGTGGCCATTCAAACACATTTAACCATGACCTTAATGACAATTAACTCCTGAAACCATTCAGAAACATTTCAGCTTCTTAGCATCCCATTTAATCCACGTTAAATGTCATATTAAATTCAGTCAACCTAGAATTTAATTGGTGCTAAGAATTCTCCAGTAAATTTATTGGAAAAGGTGATCTGGATAGAAGCAAAACTCGGCTTGATCAGGCCTGTGAAGTTTCGGTCCGGCATTCGTGTCCGCTAATCCCCGCACATACACGAGTCAAACTATTTTGGCCTCAGATTTGACCCCCATTTGCACAATAGCTTTAACTCATTTTTTTTTTCAACACAATGAGAAACGAAGTTCTCATTCAAACCAAACTCATTTCCAACATAACTTGCATATGGATGCAACAGCGATATACTAAGTGATTGTAGCTGGCTCAAAAACTCGGGAAATACAATCTTGACATATTGATGAGAATTCAAAATGATGCATTTTAACTTCCGGATGTTTGAACCTTTTCCAGTAATGCTTCCATGTTGCATGAATCAGGAATAGCTACGCCAGAAATCCAATCCAACTCACACAAGTTAGATGAGTTAGCAAGATTTCCCATGCGGAAAAGGCCACCAGGACTCTTGATGAAAAAATGCCTTAACTTCTGGAGTAAACTTCTAGCAATTAAATCTTCTAGGTACTCATCCTCGAACAAATCCTTCAGCCATAGACGAAGCAACCTCCTGACTGAAACCTCCTGATCTTCAGGGTATGTCGCAAAATAGAGAAGGCAGGGCCTCAGATGTTCTGGTAAATAGTTGTAGCTCAGCTGCAGCGTGTTCCTGCATAGTCCTAAACTTGAGAAAATGTCCGATTTTAAACCGCCCAAAATCTTCTTCCAACCTTTTGGATCTATAGTTGCTAAAACCCAAGCTACAGTGATAATTGTTAAAGGTAAGCCCTTACAAATTTCAACAATTTGCCTCCCAAGACCAACTAATTCGGGGGCCGACAACTTCGACTGCCGATGCAATAAATCTATGCTCTCTTCTTCAGTGAGTGATCTAAGTTCATGAGGTTCATCATCAGGAGAAACATCGTGATGACGACTTGTCAACATGATTCTACTTGCAGTGTGGTTCATCATCAGGAATGCTTCTTTCAAACAGCACCATGCCTCCGCGTCCCATATATCATCTAAACAGAAAAATGGTGCACAACACAAGGATCATATTAAACTTTTGTAGCCAAAGTATTCTTACCTTGTCTTGGCATACCACAATGGCCACAACCTGCAATTTCTTCGAACTTCTCGTGAGTCGAATCTTGATTGATTCTGCATCTTCAAGGAAGCCCACTAGCTCATTCTTAATAATGTTGTTCTATGAAATGGAACATGAAAATGAGTCACGGTTATTACCTTCAATTTTAGTAACTCTTGCTCCCACACTTCGATTTCCGGCTTAATAATCTCTTGATTTCTTCAATTTCTTCAATTTTCGGTTTAGAAACCATGAAGAAAGGTGTTATAAACATCCATCTGATTAACTTCCCAGCCATTAATAGCAGCAACACAAAGTAAAGTACTATCAGCATCATCTGATATCAAAGATGATGGAAGATTGAAACCAAAGTTAGACGTGCTTAAATAAAGTCGACGGAACTACGCGATCACAATGCTAAAATCATTGATCATGGATATTAGAGTTCAAGGAGAATCCCAAAAGGTGGACAAAATTCCTTAGATTATTTATTTAACCTTGGAAAGTGATGAAGTTCATCCGTGCGTCGCACAGCTCGTCGAGCGGCAAGGAAAGTCGACAACAAGCATAGGGATTCCGTCAAGCTTTGCGTCGGCCAACAACCAAATGGACAGTGGGTCGTCGAGCTTTGCGTCGGCCAGCAACCAAGTCGACGGCAGAATTTCCAATTTTTGGAAATTTCCTGTTTTTATTTAAATTTAATTCTAATTTGTTTCCTTTAAGTATTTTCGGCCAAAACCTATTAAAAAGGTTGGTCTTTTAATAAATATTAAATAATTGTGACATGTGCAATTATTTAATTAAGAGATATTTTTCTTTTTAGGAAACTTCTAGTCTAACAAATCCTAGTTAGAGTTCTAATAGGATTAGTACTCTTATTGGCTGACCTAAAGCCCTATAAAAGGGGGTCTTGGCTGTGATTTAATATGATATGTCTTTGATGAATTATTATTCAATTCAAACTTGTGAGGAAAACTCCTTGTTTCTTGAACTTTTGAGGTTATTTGGCTTTTGCAATAAGTAGGGTTTTGCATAAAGTAGCGAACGTGCATTCAAGGGTAGTGTCCTTGTTTGTGAAGTTCTTTTGGTGTCATTGTACGGGAGCACATCTATCCATCATTGTCATAATCTTTAGGCAGAGGTTGTTAGAATCGTTACTCTTGGGGTTACATCAAAATCACTTTCTTCCTTTCCTATCTTTCCATCCTTTTGTTTCGGATTTTTGTGGTTCGAATCTCCTTTTAGCTAGTGTATTTGTGGCTACTTTGGTGCAAGAATTCAAGTCTTGGAGTTTGATTCCACGTTCATAGTTAATTTTCATATCATCAACATTTACATCAATAAAACAATCACTCATCCCCCTTAAATCAACAGAGATTTTTTTTTCCAAACCAGAGCTAATCCCCCAGACCTACCATTACAAGGAACATCAACTCCATTCATATTTACAAAACTTTTAAATTTATTAAAAACAGAAAGAGTACATTTAGTTTCTATGAGAAAAACCAGGTCAGGCGACTTCTTGCGCAGAAAACCGTGCAATTCCTGAATTGTACAAGGGTTCCCAAGCCCTCTACAATTCCCAGCTAATGAGACTCATATCTCTTCGCGGGATTGGCTAGTTGCGCTAATCTCCACCATTTCATGATCGGTTACTTCATCATCAGAACCAATTTCCAGCCACATTGAATTTGTTTCCGTCACAGAGCAATCAGTACGTGACTTTTTCTTAATTTTCTCAACAGTGATCTCTTCAATTTCTTCAATCAGCAATCTTTGTTTTGCACGAGTACATGGAGAATCTATAAGACTCACTGATTTATGATTTTTCATTCGGGCAATTCTCAGTTTTCGGGAAGCTTTGTTGGCTGGGGTGTCCAAGACAACCGGGAGTTGAACAAGGAAAGGGCTGGGAGGTAAGACAGAAGGTTGATTTGGGGATTCAGTTACTCTACCAGGAGATTTATGCGTTGAAGATGGAGAAGGTGGAGTTATAGATACAGGTGGTTGAAGATCAGAACAGATTGATGGATTGTTTGTAGGATCAGTACAGTGTAAAGGTTCGGTTGTAGGATTAGGAATGATAGAGTTAGGGGAAGAGAGACAGTATAAGGTTCAGCTAGGGAATCAGGGATCAAAGGGGAAGTAGTTTCAGTGGTTTCAGAATAGACAACAGTTGTATGGGCTGCATAGGAGATGGAGTGAGAGGAATGATGGACAACTATTTGTGGTTCATGATTAATGACACCAGTTTGTGTAGAAGGCAGTTGCGGGGAAAGGGAAGGAGTGGGAGAGTAGGACTGTTAGAAAGTAGATGGATGGTTATAACTTTGGCACCAGGTATGAAGCAGTTTTGGTTTTCACGAAAAGGGGAGTTATCACAACATTGTTGGCAAGCGGCTTGCAAGAGACAGCAGATCTTGTATACCAAAGACTTTTAAACTTCTTCTCAATTTCGATCACCGAAATTACACTTGAAGAGAGAATTTTGCCTGCAAGAACCAATGTCTCGCTGGTATCAGCATGAGAATCTAGGGCATGGCTGAAAGATTCTTCATCATTTAGAGATAGACCCGAGTAAAATTGGTCAATTGTGTCCTCCATGGCAACAAAGGATAGAACAACCAATGTATTCAAGCAGAAACTTCCCAAAACAGCACAGAGAATGGGGCTCCAAAAAGGTTACTTTTTTGGAAACTGAAATCTGCACTCATGAAACAAACGTTTTGCGAACAAAATCAAAGAAATTTTTCTTCTTATAAAATTGATTTTGAAATCAAAGGAACAAACCCTAGCGGAGCTGAACCAACATATATTAATATGACGCAAAGGGGAGAAGGGGAAGTACACATACTGGATATATATAAGGAATACACATAAAGATTTTTTTTTAATTTTTTTGATTTGCAAACAAATTCAGGAACGAAAGTAGGAAATGGATTCATTAGAATTCTAAAGAGAGTTGGAGAAGACAAACGAGTTATCGAAAGAAGATGGAAATTGAACAGGATGATTTAGATGGAACGATTGGAGAATTAACTTGCGGATGAACTTTAGAACTTTGGAAACACTCAAATAACTGCCACATAGAAAACTCACACACTAAAGGTGTAAAAAAACTATCAAAACTTAATTATTATGTTTTCTCCAAATGGATATACTTAACCCTTATCGGATTGCACATCACCACATATATTACGTTTTCTCCAAAAGGATATACTTAACCCTTATCGGATTGCACACCACCACATATTTCACCAAAAGTATTATTGAGTCGGTCTACAACTTCGGATATACTGTCAGGTCATTAATAACAAGAGTTGCACTTCATTATGATGTTGTTCAACTACGATTGTATGATGAACAGAAACAGTGGACTTGGATGGAGTTGCGAAAGCCAATGTGCTGAAAATATGTCAGAGGCACATATGTAACTCTCCACTCCACAG